ATTTCATGCCGGCACACCGCCTGAAACTTTACAAGGAATACTGTTCCCATCTCTGGGCTGGGCTCCCCAGTACCAGCTCCTTCCACTTGACCGCATCCAGTGCAGAGCGGCTCGAGTCGTCGACGACCGAGTGCTTTCCAATCGGCTCGATTCACTGGCACTGCGAAGAGATGTTGCATCTCTTTGCATTTTCTTTCGTATATACCATGGAGAGTGCTCTGAGGAATTGTTTGGATTAATCCCAGCTGTCAAATTTCGTGAACGCACTACGCGGAAAACGTCCCAATACCATCTACAACATCTGGATGCTTGGCGATCCACCACTGTATGTTTCAAAAGGAGTTTTCTTCAGCGTACAACCTCCCTGTGGAATAGTTTACCAGCGGCGATTTTTCCGGACTGATACGACCTGGGAAGGTCCCCAGAAAAGAGCTTACTCCTTTCTAAAGGGCCGGCAACGCACCTGCAATTCTCTTGGTGTTGCGGTTGATCATGGGCGGCGGTAGTCACTTAACATCAGGTGAGCAGAATGCTCGTTTGCCCCCTCTTCTATATAAAAATTTAAGAATTTTAATATAATGGATTTCTGCAAAGTAACGCCTGATTCTATTAATTGCATTGTAGGCTTACTATAATGAGTAAGCCTTTGCGAAAACTTACAAAGAAAACAAAGTAAAATGTATTAGACATTTTTAAAAATTTAGCAAGCCTTTGAAATAAATGCATAAATAAGCATAAGGTTCTCATGGTGTGAGTGCACCGAAGTGTGTGAGTGTTGGTATATGTCATTATAGAAGTGCGGAAATTATACTGAAATGCCATAGTAAAAACTTAAATAGGTCACGTTAGCTACTGCTATTATATAAATTTTACTAAATGTATAAGGCAAATTTCACTTTTATTTATTAAGTACCCTTATAGAATACGTGTTATGGAGATCGCGCTTTAGCAAACGTAGCGTGGGACACCCCCTGACTACATGGAGCGACTATCTGCGCAAGATGGCTGGTGATAAAACAAGATGCATGTAGGCGAAGATCAGGCTACGTACAGCAGTGGACTACCGCGGGATCATGATCATGATGAAATAATAAAACATTTTCTTATAATATTCATTATAGTATACCAATCCGATCCGATCACAGTCGTAACGCTATATTAAGCAATGTTTAGTTTTGTAAATAAAATTCAACATTATTGAAAATACATAACATGTGATGTGGTCTTTTATATTATAATAACCCTTTTTAAACACAGTTAGTTCAACAAAGTTTTTGAACTTCTTGCAAGTCAAATTTTGAATATTTTCTGGGATTTTGTTGTAAAAGCGTAGACATTGCCCCAAGAATGAATTACTGACTGTGTGTAGTCAAGTAACTAATACTTCTAGCTTGTTTCTATTCCTAGTATTTACAATATGATTATCACATACTTGAGCCTCTCGAATTGAAATGTTATATTTTCATAAATGTATTTGAGGGGCAATAGCTAATATATAAAGTTTTTATCGTGAGTGAGCAACTATTTAGGTTTTAAATCACAGATTTCTCTAATCTTTTAGAAGAGGACCTCTTCTGTAAAATAAATATAATTTCAGTATCAGTCGTGTCCTTATAGCAAACTACCATACGACATTCTCCTATGGAAATAGCTAAAATAAACAAGTTTAGCTGTTTCAACACTGGTACTTCCTCTCTTTTTTACAGCATATGCTGCAGAACTAATGCTTGCTAGTTTTGATATATATGGGCCCCATTAAAGCTTTGTGTCTAGTGTGATTCTAAGAAAAATGGTGTTATCAACATGACTCGATTCCTTTCCATTAAAATTACATTAGTAATAACGTATTAGACATTCGGAAATATGAATTTAATACATTTAGTTTTAGTGCTATTAAAATGTAAATTATTAACAATAAACCAATTTAGTAATTTAGATATAGCATTATTAACTTTTTCATAATTTAGCAATATTTTCCCTATTATGTTCGTAAAATATTGCATCATTATACCCCAATATGTAAGGTGAGTCATTAATATATACAAGAAACAAAAAGGGGCCGGGAATTGAACCCTGAGGTAAGCCCATTTGAACTATCGATCTTTTATTGTTGATGACAAATTTTTGCGTAAAATAAATAATAAATAGTTAATTTAAGAAAAATACTTCTTATATCGTAGTTTTGAAGTTTCATAGTGAACACAATCGAAAGTTTGCCAGATGGCCTCCACCAAAGGATGCACAACAAAGCACGATCTTGAAGAACCTGCATCACTAAACTTCTCACATCTCTTACCAGGTCTCTCTCACTTACTCTTATCTAAGAAACTTTCTTCCCATCACGATAAGACTTGAGAGTTATAAGACTACTAAGCCAGTTGTAAAATGTACTTATATTAGAAACTGTACCTCTAATTTAATTGTATTTTGATGCACAATAAAGAATAAACAACAAAGTAAAATAAATATAAGAAACGGGAATAATAAAAAGATCAATTACGGACAATAAGATTCTTTTTATTCTGTACAATATATTTATTAATTACACTTTAAAACATTATACGAGTATCACACAAGATGTTGCTTGAAATTTTCTTATTCACTATTTAGACAATAGAGACCACATTTGTATGGCAAAGTACTTCAGTTTTAAAATTAACCAAGCATTTTACTCTTATGTACATAAAAATTATGTTAAGTATAAGCTATATCTATATAAATAAACTATAAGTGTCTATTTGTAACACAGAATTATTTAGCGTCTATTAGTCTCAGGGGATTACTTGAATGCTATTTATGACATAAATAACCATTTTAAAATGTTTTGTCTGTCTGTCTGTCTGTCCATCCGGGCTAATCTTGGAAATGACTGAACTAATTTTGGCAAAAATTCGCTAAACATATAGCGAGTACTACCAGGAGGGATCTAAACTATATTTTCTCCGTCAACTTAAAGATTTTCTCCTAAATACTAAAGAAAAATGGATAAAATAAATGGTCTTTGACTATCTTAAATCCAAACAAAACATTAATCGATATCATGTAGTGGCGGTTTTAGGATATCCACTACCCCATATTATCCCGTGGGTGTCTTAAGAGGCGACAGAGAGCAGCATATCTTAATGACAACCGAAATTAAAAACTGCGGTTGCTAACCCGCTTGCCAAGCGTGGCAAATATGGCAAATATCCCCCCTATAAAGCAATCTATCAGGAGGCCTATATTCAGCAGAGGAATTAAATTGCAGTGGAATCTTAAAATTGGATACATGTAGATGTCTACATGTCTCAGCATCCAAATACCATCATATGTGCTGTGTGCTCATTTCTCAACCTAGTTCTATAAAAAAAACTTAATGATGTTTGTAAAAAGTTACGAAGGTATATTTAATCATAATGATAAATGATAATCTTCTGGGCTATTTTGGTTAAGATTAAAAAATTGCTTACTTTCTAAGAAACATAATATTATACATATTAAAGAGCATTATATAATACAACATATTATAACAAACATAATATTATACACAAAAAAACGCAGCTTCGGTAGGGGTTACCTGACGGTTCCGTGGCGCAGTGTTTTAACAATGAGTTACGGTGCTGAGGGCCGTGAGTTCGAGTCCCGCACCGAACAAGTATTTGTATGGTCTACGAATAATTGTACCGGGTCTGGATGTTGTTCTTGAGAAATTTATGTATGTAAAGTGCCCCCACGATACAGGACAAAATCCATGTGTTAAGTAACGTGGTTTTAAAGAGAAGGAGTTGGCCTTGCGCGACACAAAGTTGCACTATAACCCACTTCGTGCCACGCACGGAATCCTACGTAAGCGAAATTAACGTGAACGTAAGACTACGCGAATTGTGAACGATCCGTCCCGAAGTGGTACGTGGCCAATCTGTCCTACGCTACGTTTCACCTCCGCAAGTACCATAGACTGACGACAACAATTTTAATAGCAAAATCTGGTTTTAAAAATGTTGATATTTTTATTTTGACCGTTTATATGCGGTTTAAGAATACCTACTGTCCCGTATCGTCCCGCGCTTGTCGTGATAGGTGACAGAAGGACACAAACAAGGAAATGGGCATGTGTTGCAGCGTCTTTCTATTCAAATAACAATTAAACTTAAAAAAGTCTCTTGCCAACCCGCCTGCCAAGTATGGCAACTGTGACGAATATTGCCTCCGTGAGGTAATTTATGGGGGATGACTCAGAAGTCTTACGATTCCACGAGATGATATAGGGTGCTAGTTGTTCTTACACCGCCTCTACACTGTTCCTCGGCTTATCGCACTTTGAGAGCTATATCAGGCGTTTATACGACATTTATAACATTTTTTTTCCGCCATAAAACTCAATATTAATATATCGCGTATACATTTACAGTATTAATTTAGTATAATATAATGTTTTTTCGTAGTTCAGAATTACATGTAATTCATGTGAAATTTATTTACAATCTTGGCACATAATTTATGTTAAAACAGTTATCACATTTACTCAATATGTTTACAATTTACTTATATCCTCAAATTTAAATCAAAATTGTTATGAAGATGCTTTGTCAAACGCCTGTACTTAATCTTTCTGAAATGCATGAAAGAGAGATAAGATTTGTCATAGCCTAACTGTATTTAAAGGTAAATAAAAATTTAAGTTTACAAAAATCTTTCAAACATTTACAAACAACCACAGATCACTGATCCACTGATTTAATGCTTCGTGCAAAGGCTAATAAGTATAAGTGACAAGTAAAACTTACGAAATTTATTTTCCAATAAACAAGTTAAAAGAAAATAAATACAAAAAATATATTTGCAAGAAGTCTTATTGTATACAAAACTTTTCCAAAACACAACGTATTCATTAATTCTGTTTTTTTTTCTGGTTTTAATATTTATAATATCACTTTTCTTGTCCTTCATAGCTTGAGCTAACAATATTAAACGTCTTAAATTACTTTCTATGTCATCACTCATTTCACTAACAAAGGCACTTATCTCCCGAATAAGAGCAATAAAGTCCATACAAGCATTTCCCATCGAAATCTTATCGAGGTGCTCTCAGCCACAGCATCTGCGAAGTTAAGAGAATAATACATAGATCACAAAAATGTATTGCCATACGGTGCAGGTTTATTCTATAATTACAGTAGGTGACAGTGGAGAACTGAAACAGGAGATGGGCCGTTAAATATTCCCAAAACAGAAAAACAGGAAGGAACAATAAAAAAAACAGCTAAGCGTGACAAATATGACAACAATCTCTCCAATCGGGGGCTAGTGATAATGTGTTGATTAAACATTTTTCCACGTGCCCCGCGTGGTTTTGCTCGCATAGATTCGAGTAATGGTTCAAATAAATATTACGAGTATTTTCCTTGTCCTAGGAGGGGTTCGACATGTCTGTGACTGTTAGTTAGAATACACTGTTTTAATTTGTATAAATTCTTAACTAACATAACTGTGATAAAGTAGAAGAGCTGTTATCTCGTTCTTACATTAATGTTATAAAAAAGGGCTGGGCGACTTACTATTCTTACTAAACATATAGGAAGATATGTGCGGACGACTGGCTACGTATAGTCGAACAGACATGCTGCGGATATGCGGCGGTCGGGTCGGCAGCGTGGCTCTGCAACGCAATGACAGATAGCCGCGGTGCGTTATGTAGTCGTCCGGGAACACGTGCAGGGTTCGCCATGATGCTCGTAAACCGTCCCCGTCCGCGCCCGATACGTGCGTCTCGCCAGTTATCAAAGGATCCTAGAAATAAAATGAAGGTTGATATATTGAAACGATTACAATTTATCTTTGATCATCTACTTCAGATGTCTACATGCCATTTTGTGACGGTTTTTTTATAACAAGGGTAACAAACGAGTATACAGTCTAACGGATGGTAAGTGGATACTGTGGCCTATATACAACTACATCTATTCTCGATTAATAAATAATAAACATGCAGATGCGTTGTCACCTCGTTACCATTATAAAGGGGTCTTCGGTTTTCTTCACTCAACATACGTAACAAAGCAGTTAATGTTACTGTGTTTCCTACACTGCACACCGGAAAGGCTGAATGGTATAAACCATTTTAATAACAGGCAGCGAGGCATGCCATATTGATCCTCAGATGTGACAACGCGTCTGTAGCCTTTGCGGCGCTATCGTCACGCCTTACTTTTTTTAAGTTGGCTGCTCATCGATTGGGTGTCCATGACCTGCAGTAGACACAAACCATCATGTGGATCGCTAATTCGTACGTCACTTCAGTATACATACTAAATTTTTTGCGCAACTCATAAAAAATTATCGTGTTTACTAATATATTTACTGCTTTGCAAAATGATCTTCATTACGTTGTGAGCACGTTTTTATTCGTTAAAACCGTTAATAAAAACATAAGGACCTTTGGTCTGAGAGCATGTTTCTCACATACTGCTTGAATGCTATCATGGCCTATTCTGACTTTGTGACTGTTAAACCTTTCATCAAATATTTTATATTTGGGAAAAAAAGAAATAGCAGGTCCGTTTGTGGGATGGGTCACGATCTCCACTTATTCAGAAGCCAAAAATAATCTTGTCTTGTCCGAAGCATTATAATGGTTTTATAGGATACGAATTCTTGGTGGATTTAACCTACTTCAATGACACTGGAAAATATATGGTGTTGTACCACTCATCATTAACTGTCTTTTGCTCACTGAGTGAATTCGTGCAGGCAGAACCATTTTTGGATAAAAAACTAATATTTTTTTTTGGTTAAGTAAGGTGCATTCCTTTCAAAAACATTTTGAAGACGAGCAGTGCAGTGTTGCGCAGAGAGTGAACCTTTCAAATAATAAAAAAAATCATCGCCGAAAAATCTTTTCTCGTTAATTCTATTTTTGCAAACCTATCCGAAATTCAATATGTAATAAAAAAAAATCACGCGCGCTTCCTGCAAAAAATATTTTAATCGATAAGCTAATTTCTTTATTTTTAATAAAATATAACATTCGAAATTCAAACATTTAAGAGCGGCCAGGAGCGAATAACTTACCTGTGTATTAATTAATTTAGTAACATCTGACCTCGATAGGAAAGCTAAAATACTATAATATTTCGTGCACTGTTAATAAGAACCATTAAAGCACTCTCAAATGTACCCTTATTGTACCCAAGTTGTAATAAAGTTTAATTCCACCATCATAAGGCAACAGATAAGTGAACATTGCCTCCATCAAATATAATCAAAGTGACATATCAAAGGGCTTGAAAAGGGAACGTTAGTGTTATTTACAAACTTGATAACTTCGTTCAAAACATTAACTGAGTTGTTGAGCCTTTTATTATTATCTTGGTGGAGCCTTTCATTGTAATTCATCATTCTTATCGAGGGTTTAACCATAATTTGATTACATAAAATAAAACCGTTAACTGTAATTGAAGACACAAACGTTTGCCCTTAATTTATTTTCGTAGAGTAAGGGTAATTAGCGACCACACTGTTCACTCAGTGATGATAAATGAATACTGCCCATAGACATCTTCAACTATCATCGATTGAGAATCAAAATGTACATGAGTTGTCACCACTGAGTACTAAGATAGCATGACTCTTTTCAAGTAAAAAGGGCCTCCAGTTCTCTACACTTTTTTTTACATTGTGGACTATGTAGATGTCAGCTATCTTGATCTCACCGAGAAGAAACTTGATAAACTTGAGCGTCTTCAAAACTTTTGTATAAGATTCATATTTTGTTTGCGCAAATACGATCACGTATCTTGTTTTCGTAATAAGCTCAAGTGGCTTCCTATCCATCTTCGCCGGAATGCTCATAGTCTGTCACTTCTTTACAATGTTCTCTTTAATCCTTCCTATCCTTCTTATCTTAAGGATCGTTTTGAATTCCTTCACTATTCCCATTCGAAAGTTTTGAGATCATCAGAGAATTTTACATTAAAAATGCCTGCCTATAATAGCAAATTTATGGACAGGTCGTTTAGTATCCAAGCAGTCCGTCTATGGAATGCCCTACCTCTGTCAGTGAGATGCGCCCAGTCTTTATCTGTTTTTCATAAACTTGTACACAGTCACTATCTTAATCGTTGAGTTCGTGCTATCTATTTTCGTAGTATACATTCGTATTTTTTTGTATTTTTTGTTGTTTATTTCTAATTATATTATACAAAATATGGATATATTTATAAATATTGTTTCTGCATCACCAAACCACACAATTTACTACTTTTTGCGATCCTGTCCATCCAAAGGTTGTCTGGAAGGAATCGCTTTTAGCGATAAGAGCGCCCATTGTGACACTATTTTTTTTTCTTCTTCTTTCGTTTATGTATTGATTTGATATACAATAAAGAATTATCTATCTATATATCTATCTATCTACACTAACCACAAGAAACACGGCAGCATTAAGCAGCTATTTAAAATTAATGTTCGGTAAAAGCGCGGTTCTTCCTCGGTCGAGTCGAAACATTCGCGCTATCATCATTCATCAGTCCTCTTGTCTCCAGCAGCGACAACTAGTCGCCGATACAGTTCCTGTTTTAAACCTAAACCTACATTTCTATGTCACCTAAAGTGTTATAGAACTTTGATGAGTAAGTCGGTGAATGATAAAAATTACACTTTTCAGACATAACCTTTACAGATCTAAAATAAATTGGATTAATGAGACTACAGACATTAAGAGTGACTCATATGACTTGCAAAATTGAAAATTGGGTATCTTAAATTTTGAATTAGGAGGGAGAAGTCAAAACTAGCTCGAAATGACATCAAACACAGCACTGTATCTAGATATAAGACCACTGTAAACTTTAAAATTAAAAAGTTAACACTAGAGTACATACACGCGCGGCCTACTATGGCAGACCACGGTTATTCTTTTTGCAATAACTTTTTAGTTTAGCGCGTTAGAAACTAGCGATTCCAGGTAAGCCTCGTTTATTGTATTTGCCACAAACTCTGTACCCCGCGGGATCCTAGCGCGGACGCACGCATTGGTAATTTGGCGCCAAAAGTGAAGGACTACCATAGTAGTCCGCGCGTGTATTGGTGCACCAAATTTAGGTATGTAATTTTTGATGTATTGTTGACGTACAGCGCAGTTATCTTACAATCCTAGTATCAATTGTCTGTTTATATGTATTTAAATGCTAATATTATTATTTAATTAGTCATTACAAGTTGTAAAAAAATCTCTTTTTTCTAATTTATGTAATTTTTCATATTTATTTCCGAATACGTCATGGAGGATTCTCAAATACAAAGGTGGTTGCATGAGTTCGAAACTGATGATAAGGAAGTGATTGAGAGCAAAGATGATGGAGTTCAGACAGAACCAGACCTACAGTCCCTAGTTCACGAGTCAGAACTCCGCGAAAGTGAAGACACAAGACTAAGTGCATCTGACGAAACATCAGATTCAAATGACTACCCACTCTCGCAACTAGCAACCAGAAGGCGAGGTCCAGTATATAAATCAACGAATGGAACTATATGGCAAAAAGGTATTCCCCCAGCAATGCGTATTCGAACGCATAACACTAGGATAAGACTACCAGGCCCAAAAGGAGACGCTGCTAGGAATGCGAAGAATCCGGTATCGTGTTTTGAACTATTTTTCACGCAAGATATATTGGAAATCTTGGTAAGGTGCACAATATACAATATATATAATAATAAAAGTCGATTTCCAAAGAAACAGGGATGCTAAGCCCACTGATATAGTAGAAATGAGAGCATTTCTGGGCATGTTAAAAGTCATGGGAGCATCACCAAATGGACGTTGCAACATAAAAGATATTTGGGATAACTCTCAGGGTACTGGTTTGGAAATTGTATATACTACCATGGGAATAAATAGATTCCGGTTTTTGATACGTGCCCTAAGATTCGACGACATTACCGACCGAGAAGAGCGTCGAGAACTTGACAAAATGGCACCAATTCGACAAGTTGTGGAGTTAGTCACTAACAATTGTCGCAAAAACTATACTACCAGTGGTTATTTGACGCTAGACGAACAACTTAGATGTTCAACAAACCGAATAAACTGGACAAATTTTGAATTAAAATTTTCATGGTGGTCGACACGAAATTTCCATATGTCTTCAATTTTGAGATATAAGTTGGAGCGCAACCGGAAGGTCCATTTCAAAAGTCCAACAAGGTAAACGACGTTGTCCACAGAGTGCTTGATCAGCTTTATGATTTAGGCTGTAATGTGACAATGGACAATTATTTTACAAATCTTCCTTTGGCTAAAGAGCTATTGCAGAAGAAAATCACGATTGTTGGTACTATGAAAGCTAATAGACCCGAAATTCCCAAGGAGTTCAAAGCTTCGAAGTCCAGGACTAGCAAAAGTTCTCTTTTTGGGTTTCAAAAAAGATGTTACCCTGTCATGTACCAAAAAAAAGCGACAATGAACGGTTCTGGAAGACAAATTGTCAGGCGAAACTTTTTGTACGAATTGTCATTCAATTTGATAAAACTGCTTTTGGTTCGGCGGGTATTCATCGAAACTCTTCCGCGACAACTTAAATTTAGGATAGAAGCACTTTTGGCCAACACAGTTGAAAAATCCCAAGAGTCTCAACACGATTTGACTCCAAAGATAGGTCGAGTTGGTCGATATGCATTCTGCTCAAGGACCCGAAATAAGTCCACAAAAAAGTGGTATAAGACTTGCAACAAATGGATTTGTCCTGAACACCAAGCGGTAGTGTGTCCTGATTGCTACCAAAACAAAGACAATAATAATTAGGTTAAGTCTAAAATTACTAAAAATTACATGGATCTCAGAAGTGCCAACTTTGTTAATTTTTTTATATTTACTAAATTGTTGATTGTTTACTATTTTTAATTATTTTCCTAAGAAAAAAAGTTTGTAAAACTAAGAAAGATAAACAAATTTCCCATTATATTCGTTGTTTTAATAATATAGTTGGTTATATACAATTAATTGACATTTTAAAATGGCCTACTATAGTAGGCCACGCGTGTAATTATGTGAAGAAAAGGGGCGCGTGTAAGTATCCAAGTATTAATTTAACCATATTACTGATTGATTGTGTTATATATGTGATATGTACCGATATTAAAAAGAAAATTAGTAATAACCTCGTCCTGATCATAAGTTAGGAAAGAAGTAAATTTTTATGTTAAAGACTTTCCTGCTTGTTACGATAATATAATAGAAAAATCATTTCTAAATGGGCGATAAAAATGAAAATGATTCGAGAACCACAACCATAAACGGCACGTGGGATACAATACGAATTACGGCATTACCTCTGAGAACCCCTGAAAAGGGTGAAACACAAGCAAATGTGCATTAATTCCAAGTAATTATACGAAGTAGGGCTTTTATTTGAAGTGCAAGGAAACTTATAGCATTTCTTTTGAAGGCATATGCACAGCAGTGTTGGTATGGTGTAATGGTAAATAATGATAAGAAAACTTATAAATAATGATGATCGGTGTGCTGTTCACCGTGTAGTGGTAATTTCAGAATATCCGCTACCCCATATCATTCCGTGGGAGTCGTAAGAGGTGACAGAGGAAAATAAGAGATGGGCAGTATCCTCAGCAGCAGAAGATAAAACTCGCCTACCAAGCGTGGCAACTATGCGAAAATCCCCTATGAGACATTCTAGGAGAGATTTTTATGTTCAGCAGATGACATTTATCGACTATAATGAATGAATAGACCGATAAATTATAGACGGATAATTAAAAAAAGAGAATACCAACATACAAGTAAAGTCATACCAGTCTGGGTATTTTACTTTTGACGTAATAACCTATATCAACAACTATCGGAAGCCATAAGAATATTCTGGCATTTCCCATAGTTACCTCTTACGACACCCACGGGAGGAAAAGGTATTTGGGAATCTATAACATCGCCACCACTAAGCCAGTTTATTCCGCAATACTCTATTTTGTGTTATTCATTATTTCTATTTAATTTTTACTTTTTCCAAATAAAAGTCTTAATAAATGCTTAAAATATCTTTTTTCAGTTGCTCTCAATAGTCGGTTTAACATATTTATTGGTGTCGATTTTCGTCACCAATTATGAGCTAGTGATATAAAAGATAAGGTGTAACGAAAGGCGGTAAAAAGCACTGGCTTACCTTTTTATAGAATAAGTGTCGCAAACGCGCACTCAGTCCTACTGATAGTAAGTGGATGCTGTAGCCCATATATTTCTATATTTACACTCAATTAAGAATCAAAATGCAGATGCGTTAATGTGTTGTTACCCCTGAAGACTAAGTTTCCAGTTAAGCAGCTATATTATATTCTGTGAGAGCGTAGTCCTACCTCAATCAAGCCGACCAATTTGTGTCATAACCATAATATAGCTGCAGCTTGTTTCTATCACGTAAACCTTACCTTAACTAAAGCCTATTTACTCTTGCTTTGATTTCTACCTTATCATCCTTTTCCAGCAAAGAAGAAAAGGAAATATCTATGAAATATTATCAAATCCGGTAGTAGAAAAAAATTAAATCGGAAAATAACAGCTTTTCTTATTTAATTTTCACCGGATTTAAAGTAATCTCGAAATTTTGTTAAAATACTTCTTCTCTTATGGTATTGATTTACGCGACTTGAAAATAACAAAACTTTTACTGTGGGAGAATAATAAATGCGTGAAATTATTCATGTTCCAGGGTAAACTTCGGGAAGTAATTACAGTAATTAAGGTAGCGTAGGCATTATTGCCGAAAACGAAAAAGTAATTCATAAAACATTTTGTTTGATTTAAATCACAGTGATAACGTGATATCCTATGTTCAGCAGTGGACTTGTGAAGGGATTTAATGATAATGATAATGATGATAACCGTTGTAATATAATCGTAACAAAATATTAATAATCTATTAGAAAGAAAAAGTTTTTTGAGGCTATAATACGATACAGGTACAGTTTTACTTTTAAGAATAAACAGGATTAATTTTTATACGTAATAGAGCCATGATAAGGCTAAATAATAAATAAATAAATCATTGACTCTGGACCAAGCCTTTGGTACATTTTCACACCCACCAAACTGTAAAACAGTTTGTCGGCGGGATTAGCGCTCGTCTTAATACATTTGGTTTAAATACGTTAATAAACAATCTAATGTTAATAAAACAGAGTGTAATTAAAAGCAAATATTATAGCAGCGCGAGCCGCCGCCAAACACACGCAGGTCGACGGACACATTTTAAATACATTACTTGAACAGTATTTGACTACACAATTAAGCCGTCGTAGTTCTGACTTATAGCACAGAATAAATAATAGTTACACGAACAGAAGGATCACTCTCTGATTTGCTATCTATATTCTACATATATTCTTGTGCGCTTAAACCTAGTTAAACTTCGCTAATCTTGATAAAAATAAATAATTTCAGAGTCGAATATAAATAAATGCTGCGCACGTATTAAGGTGTATCCCTGGCCAAAATGTTGCGAAAGTGCGTTGTTCAGACTCTATTATCTCATTAGTTATGAAATATAAACTACATCTAAAAGTACATTATTAATGTTCGATATCTTATGACATTTCACGTTCAAATTTATTTTTATGTGATATAAATACATTTAAAATCAACTTTTAAAAAATGACTAAAATTCATGATTACATGCGTATGTAGCTAAATGCAACGCTCTAATCATTTGAGGATTACACTGGTGGATAGAAAATTTAAAATTCTATATTCTCCACGTTTTATTTATATTTTTAAGTTCATTTTTCTTTTTTAATTGAAATATTTCCGAAAATTGTGTGAATTCTACGATAAGGGGGCGTGCACAGAGTGCGGGCGGCATTACGCTCTATGCTTTCGTAGGAAGTGGTTGTGCCGCTCGTCGCCGTCGTCGACGTTCCGTATTTTGCCGCAAACATAACATTATTTGAGTACCTACCAACCGATGCGCTTACGTGTTTTTTACTACAAAAAGACGCTACGATTATGAAAATATAATTTTGTGGATTGATTATTGCAAATGCCTAAATTCAAGAAGAATAAACGTCAACGACGTCAAAATACTCTAAAGATGATTGAAATTCTGTGAGTAATTTGTTGTATTATGCAAAGTTCACTTCCTTTTATTCCGTTAAATTCCTACGTGTTATTACCTAGTTTATTTTTATTTTAGGAGGATAAGAAAAACCTGAATGCGAATTTGACGACAAAAATAATTATTCAAGTTTACCAATAATTGAAAATGATAATGGGTAAGTCGGGCGCACTTTTGAGTCCATAGAGTTATGAAACTATAACCAGAATTTATAAAATTTGATGTGATATTTTTTGTGGTTACCATATTATAAATAATATGAACCTTTTCAAATATATAGCTAAAATATGTATCTAAATAATTTATTACTAGTAATTCCGTTTTGTTGTCATGCAAGATCTAATTTATCCTTTATTGCAGGCTAAATACGAACAATGACGATACGGCAGTAAACGACTTGAGTCAAGAAACCATATAATTAACACCCAAACCCAAAAACTACGTTTTTTCAATTTTTGAACCTGCCTTTTTTTGTCTTAATTTTCATTGTTATACTAATCTTATAGTAAAATCATGTTAAATTATTTTGGTTTTACATGATATTCCGTGATTTTTCATGTGTGCCAAAAAGAAACACGGGGCCCCTGATAAAGTTTTTACTTAAAAATTTCTTTAGAGAGCCGTGTGTATACTTCTGGAAACACGCAAACCAGCGATGGCATTGTCATTATGAAGTGCAGGGATTAGAGGATTTCAGTGCTGAATCTTTTTTTGAAACATTCAAAACTGAAAATCATTGCCAAAAACACAGGAAAATCTAGCATCGACTTGAGTGATCAGACGGCGTTGTACAACTCAGCGTTGAGGCGTTGTACAAAATTATTTTTTGAAGTATTGTGGGGTATCAGCATCGTGAATGATTACTTTTTGTACTTTGAGAATAATCGCAGAAAGACTCTCAAAAACACAGAATTTAGGGATGCAGTTATCAGAGTAATGCCTCACAAATACTCACGTCAAGAAGAGAAAAGCCCACTAACACCACGACCAACATCAAACAAGTGAAGCCCCTCCGAAAAAATGAAAGGATGTTGTGTCGAAGGCTATAAGATGTATGGAAGGCAAGGAAAACTTGTTGAAGTAAAACGCAAATTTTCCAAACAAACGAAGAGAATTTGCTCTATTTGCCAAGTTTTGCTATGTACAGGCTCTATTGACAAGCTCTACTAACTACTTTTTCGTAAAAAAAAAACTACTAATTATACCAGCCTGTTCTATTCTATCTATCTATCTACTGTTGGTTTTTTGTGTTTCTAAAAGAAATGAGAATAATACAAATAAAAGTAATTCCTAAAAATAGGTGTTTTTTATTTTTGTCATAATTTTTTACCTAAAATAATTTTTTACCTTATATGTCATAAGAAACCCACTCAGACCGAATCCTTCGTGGAGGCCAGAAGTAAATGATTCCGTTGTAAAATGTATGAAAACGTGTTTCCTAGTGGATACAGTGGCCTCGAACTAAAGGGTCGACCATGTATCCAAAAGGAAACACGCGACCTCAGAAGGTAGCATTTTGTGTTTCCAAAAAGAAACACATGGTGCTTAACGTGTAAAGTACACCTGTCTTGGTTCAACTGAAGTGGTTGAAGGTGTAAAGTTTTTTTTTATTTAATTTTTTGGTTTGTAGGTATTATGGTGCACAAAACTTTGTACTTACCTAATCAAAATACTTCAGTAGGTATTGTGATTAGGTACACACTTGTGCTTGTGATTATGTAAAAGATATATAAGTACGTACTGTAAAATGCCATAATTTGACTTACCTAGCCTTAATGATTTCTTGTATTAACGCGAACACTATACATTGATTAAAACTACTTTTACGGATTTTGTCGCGATTTATTTGTATTAATTTTAATACCCGACGTTTCGGGTGCTTTCCAGTACCCATGGTCACGGGGGACTGAGGTGACTGACGTCCCGATGTCAAAGTTAACCCGGAGTAACTTCAGCTTTTTAATTATTGTCTTTGGTCCGATCTACGCAGAATGAACTAAATGTATTTTGAATTCTTACAGTGGTATGCTTGGATTTAGTTTTAATTTTATTAATTATAGGATCCCAAGCAGGTGGTAGTACCCAGCCTCCTTCTCTATTGAAATTAGGATGTTTTTTAGTTTCAATAGCCTCACGTATCATCCTTGGATACTGATTTGGATTTGTGGTCTATCAAATCTGATGTAATGGTTGGGGCCATCTAGAATATGATCGCAAAGTGCAGACTTCCCGGAACGTTGATGCTTCACGTCAGCTATGTGTTCTTTTACGCGGGTTCTAATTGATCTCTTTGTTTGCCCTATATATGAGAGACCACAATCACAATTTTGCATCGTAGAGGAATATGACACTTGATGGAGCTTGTACACTCCTGCATCTTGTAGAGGAATATGACACTTGACGGATGGTAAGAACTGACTAATCTTCTTCGGCGGCTTGTAGAATATTCTAATAGAAGCTCGCTTCAAGATGTAGCCAATCTTGTCTGTGACACCTCTGACATATGGTAGTATAGCAGGCACACGCTCGACTGTGGCAGGCTGCACTCGGTCACTGTTACGGAGGCGCGGGACCCGAAGCTGTTTGTCGTGCAGAACCTGCTTGACGTGCTGAAGCTCGGCGGCCAGGTGTTTGCTGTCACAGATCCCTCGTGTTCTCTGAAACGAAGATTTGCCCACGGTAGCTAACTGTGAAGGATGATGGTGAGATTCACCATTTAAGTATCGGTTTGTATGGGTCTTTTTTTTATACACAGTATGACCTATGGTGTTGTTAGGATTTCTGATGACTAACACATCTAGGAAAGCTAAGGAATTATTTGCCTCTAACTCCATAGTAAATTGAATTTTAGGGTTTATGGAATTAAGATGTTCTAAAAATGCAGTTACTTTGTCTGATGGTAAAATTGTGAAAGTATCGTCTACTTACCGCTTGTAGAACCTTGGGGTAACAGGTGCAGTAAGGAGGGCTTTATCCTCAAAGTCTTCCATGAATATATCGGCTACAATGGGCGATACAGGTGAGCCCATCGCAACACCATCTACTTGCTTGTAAAACTCTTCCTTCCACAATAGATAGCCGGTGTAAGGCAATGTCTTAGTAGCACCGCATATTCTGGTGGCATGTTATTTTCATCTAGTTTCCTAGTTATAATTGAGATGCAGTCTTCAACAGGTAGGCATGTAAATAGAGACTGAACATCAAAACTGACCATGGTTTCATTGTCAGCAAGACGTAGGTCTTTTATCTCACTGACAAAATGGTATGAATCCTTAGTATGTGCTCTTATGTGTCCTCTGAGTGGTGATAATTTTTTGGCTAAGTGTTGAGCCAATCTGTACGTTGGTGAATCGATTTGACTAACTATTGGACGTAATGGAGCGTTAGGTTTGTGTATTTTTGGTAACCCATACAACTTGGGAGGTTTTGCACACGAAGGTATTATCGAATTGACGTCTAGATTCAATTTCTCGGAGTATTTCTTAATTAGATCGCTAGTTGTTTTAAGCGCATTAGTTGTAGGGTCTGTTTTGCACCTAACGGTATGTACTTTCATCCGACAAAAGTTGTTGTATTTTAAACTTGTAATCCGACGTATCCATTACAACCGTAGCATTTCCTTTATTTGCGTGGAGAATCGTAAGCTATGGTCTGTTGCGTAAGGTTTTTAACGCGTTAAATTCATTTTTGGGAAGATTTAATTTCGGCGCTGTACTTCGACGTAACATAGACGACATGTCTTGGCGTATAGCCTCTAAATCTTCATTACCAATATAATTTTTATACAGACAATCCTCAAGACTACAGATAATGTCTTCATACGGGATTCTTCGCGGTGTAATTGCGTAATTAAAACCTCTTCCTAAAACTTTTAATGTGGCGTCGTCCAGAGTTTGTTTTGACAGGTTATAGACCACATCTTGTTTATTATTCGTGCCTGTGGTCGTTTCGTTCTTACGTTGCCATTGATGTTGGACATTTGATTTAGTTGTTAAGGAAATTAAAACTAAACCCAAGCATACCACTGCAAGACTTCAAAATACAGTTAGTTCATTCTGCGTAGATCGGACCAAAAACAATAATTAAAAAGCTGAAGGTACTCCGGGTTAACTTTGACATCGGGACGTCAGTCACCTCAGTCCCCCGTGACCATGGGTGCTGGAAAGCACCCGAAACGTCGGGTATTAAAATTAATATAAATAAAACGCGATAAAATCAGTAAAAGTAGTTTTAATGAATTACCTAGCCTTACTTTGCCTAAACCGATCATTTGAATTTCATTAGTAGGCTATTCGAGCTAGAGTTAAAGTTATAGCCTATATACGTCCCACTCCTGGGCACAGGGCTCCGCTCATTTCTGAAAGGGTCCTAGGAAAGGAATTGTCTACCGCGCTGGCCCAATGCATGTTGGCGAACTTCGCATGTCTTCGAAATATTTTTTTTCTTATTTCTGAGACATGCAGGTTTCCTCACAATGTTTTCCTTCACCACTGAGCACTTGTTAAATCAACACTTAAAATTGCAATTACAATTTCATTGGTGCCGGCGGGGATCGAACCCGGTTTGCTCGCGCACTGTGAAAATTTCAGCAAGCGCTAACAATCTGAGCTACCACGGCTCCTCTCCTCTCGAGCTAGAGACTTTATTTCATTTATGGTACGATTTTTGTCGCATGCCAGCTTACTTTTACTTCTGGCAAAAAGTTGTGAAACGTCTGTGAACGTCGGAATTGTGCAAATGTAGGTCGCAGATATTTTACATTGTATTACATTATACCTGCACTTCAAAATTTTATTGTGTGAGTATTTTAAACTATTTTTACGGATTTGATGAAACATATTAAATAAAAAATAGTCTCCTATCTTTCTCTCTATGTTTTGAACTTCTAAAACGAGTTTGAGTTGGTAAAATCAAGGCAAACTTAGGGTAGGGTTGTCAATTATTATTTTGATAATAAAACTAGTGAAATTCCGCGGTTTTATATGCGCAAGCGTGAACGTAGTTAGAACATAATGTTACGCGCTCAAATCGACAATACACTAGCGCCATCTAGTGTCAGGAACGAGAGCGAGGGTAGCATTGAGAAAATGACATCACAAATTACTCAACCGACAGCGCCTAGTCGAAACTCGAACGCTCGGTACCTTGCGCGTGTTTACTGAACATTCTGGATATTTCTTTGCTAATTTAAATATACAGGCGCTGCAAGATGCGATCGAGGCAGTGTTGATTTGGCGAGAAAAGCGAAGCTTCGGAGCGGAATAAAGTGAATTAGTGTGTTTAATTATTAGTGTTTTTAACTTTAATTTGTGTAAAGTAAATTAAAGTGTTAATTTAGGTAATTTTATCGGCAATTTTTATTGTCACGAACTTCAAGCTCGTAACAATTGGTGTCAGAAGTGGAATAAAATCATGCCGATTTTACCTAAGGAGGAAACGGAGGGTGTCCGTACCCGAAGTCAACGCCAGCAGGAGACGGACCAACGAAGATTTGGTGGTGCAACGCCGCAGACGTCAGAGGGCCAGCGGCCGGCAACGGAGGCCGGTCCGTCAGTAGCTCCTGCATCTGCAGCACCTAATTTGGGCGCCCTGATGGTGATGCTGCAGGAGCAGGCCCGCCGACAGGAGGAACAGGCTCGTCGGTTCGAAGAGCAGCTGAAGCGCGGACAGGAGGAACAGGCCAGTCAGTTGAAAGAGCAGCAGGAGGAACAGGCCCGCCGACACGAGGAACAGGTCCCGCCGACAGGAGGAACAGATGCTCCTCATGAAGGACCTTCACGCTACCTTCGGGAAGGAGATAAAGGAGGTGAAGGATAGGGTTGCTCACCATGACAACCGCCTGTCGGAAGCTGAAAACCGAATCGAGAAAGCTGAAACCCAAATCGTCCAAGTAAACAATCGGGTTGACAACGTAATGGCTGACATGAAGAAATCACTGGACGAACTCAAACTTGGAGATGGAGCTACAGCTCCCGTAGTAGCTACAACACCTTCGCTACGTGGGTTCAAGGTGCCACCGTTCGACGGTACCTCTTCCTGGTCAGCCTACAAAATCCAGTTCGAGGCTGTTATGAAGGCGAACGGCTGGAATAAAAGTCAGGCCATGACTGCTCTCACACTAGGCCTGCGCGACCAGGCCTTAACAGTTCTGGAAGCTCTCGGTGAGGAAGTGACTTATGAGCAACTCCTTGAGGCATTGGAGGCGAGATATGGCGACGCTCACCTGGAACACGTCTTTCGTGCGCAGCTTAAAGGTCGTGTACAGCGCATCAACGAAAACCTGCAGCAGTGGGCTCTAGAGGTGGAGAAGCTGGTGCGAAAAGCTTACCGGTCTGTACCTGCGCTCATTGAAGGGAACCTGGTGCAGACATTCATCGACGGCATCCGCGACCTGGAAGTCAGAGCTGCTGTGAGGCTTGGGCACCACGAGACGCTTAAGGACGCCTTGGCCCATGCACTGGAGGTAGAAGCCGTGCGGCAGGATCATCGTTCCCATCGCGTCAGGGAGGTTGTAGCCGCTACAGTTTGCGACCGCAACAAAGGATACAGCCCAAGGTGCTATGGCTGTGGGGAAAAGGGCCATCTTCGATCCAGCTGCCCTAAACTAACCATGGAAAGGAGAGTTGGTCGATCTCGAGAGGGTAGTACAGCTAACGGCACTGCCTGGCGGCGACAAGGATCATCGTTCACCTCACGCTAGGGAGATTACAGCAGTTACGGTTCGCGACCACAATAAAAGATAGAGCCCTTGGTGCTATGGCTGTGGGGAAAGGGGCCATCTTCGGTCCAGCTGCCCTAAGCACACCCTAGGAAGGGAAGGTGAACGGTCTCAGAAAGGAAGTGCGGCTAACAGCACCGCCCAGCAGCAGCAGGAATACGACTTTACTATCAGACTCTGCAGCGGAAAATCTCACGGCAACGCAGATGCATTGACAAGAAGACCTTGTCCTGAAGATTGCAACCATTGTAGTAGGCAAGAGAGTAAGGAAGTGGTATCCGTGAGGATGCTCAGGACAGACCACCTCAGCAACGGGTGGAAGGACAGCCTACGACATGCACAGCAGGAAGATCCGGACATCAAGCCGATTCTGGGATGGATGAAGGCCCGTGCTACCAAGCCTAAGTGGAGGGACGTCTCAGCGATGAGTTCAACCACGAAAAGCTATTGGGCCCAATGGGACAGCTTGCTGATTCAGGATGGAGTCCTGTGCCGTAAATGGGACAATGGTCGAAGGGACAGCTGTCGTTTGCAAATGGTTGTCCCTAAAGCTAAAGTGCCGAATGTTCTACAGCTGTGCCATAATGGTCGTTCAAGAGTCCATCTGGGAGTTAAACGAACTCTACTGAAGGTCCGAGAACAGTTTTACTGGGTCCATTATCGTGACGATGTCGAGGATTGGTGTCGTACATGTACAAGTTGTGCGGCCGTGCGGGGACCTCAGACACGTAGTAGAGGAGCACCGAAATTGTACAATGTTGGTGCACCACGGGATAGAACAGCCCTTGACATTGCGGGGCCGTTACAGAAAGGCGCAAGAGGGACTCCTAAGATCGTCCATGTGAATCGCTTGGCGCGTTATTATGGGGCCGATAATGCTCGGGACGAGCATGTCTTAGGAGGGGGCAGTGTTACGCGCTCAAATCGACAATACACTAGCGCCATCTAGTGTCAGGAACGAGAGCGAGGGGAGCATTGAGAAAATGACATCACAAATTACTCAACCGACAGCGCCTAGTCGAAACTCGAACGCTCGGTACCTTGCGCGTGTTTACTGAACATTCTGGATATTTCTTTGCTAATTTAAATATATAGGCGCTGCAAGATGCGATCGAGGCAGTGTTGATTTGGCGAGAAAAGCGAAGCTTCGGAGCGGAATAAAGTGAATTAGTGTGTTTAATTATTAGTGTTTTTAACTTTAATTTGTGTAAAGTAAATTAAAGTGTTAATTTAGGTAATTTTATCGGCAATTTTTATTGTCACGAACCTGAAACTCGTAACAATAATATAACCTTTATGTTTGACATAAATATCCTAAAAAAAACTTATTATTTTAATATGTTACTACCTATAAAATTAACAAGTTTATTGCATTTTTATTTGAGTAATTTTTAACATTATATTACTGATTTACTTACTTATACGTAGTTTTCTTTTTTTGCAGTTACAAATATATTATGAAGTTTAAAAAGGCAGTAATGAAAAAATAATAAGAAAAATAATAATTGACGTCAGCCACTTCTTTTCATAAAAATTTCAAATCATGGTCCATTAGGTTGCAGCTTCACCGAACCACAACTTATCGGAGAAACACAAAAGGCTTAGAGTCAAAATTTACGCTTAAATGCCAATTATTTAACCAAAAATTTGTAACAGTAAACGATGATTGTAGTGAAAATTATTTATCATTAAATGAATGTGCAGTCGCAGGTATGATTGAAATAGGTGCGGTGCTTCTTTATCCTCATATATATATATATATATATATATATATATATATATATATATATATATATATATATATATATATATATATATACTTATATACCCAATTATTGAAAAAATGGGAAATTGTTTCCATAGAAAATAACATTGTGACTGTAGGACTGTCAAATGTGAAGAACTGTACACAGTGATGGAGAAGCTTGCGCGTCTCCAACCAGCTCCGGTGAATCGCTCGTCCCCGTATGACCTCATACCGCATAACAGACGGTCTCCAAATTACAAGAGCTGAGGTAGGAAGCTCTCCGCCGTACTGACTAGACCTTGCGCTAACAGACTTCCGTTCTTTACCCGTCCAGTTGATTTCTTCAAGAATGGCATCTAAACTACCACTGCGCTGGCAAAGATGCATCGATTGTATGGGTGATTAAGTGGTGATAAGGTGGGTGGGTGGGAGAAGGGATCAAATTAAAATTTTATTACAGTTCAGTTTTTTCTATTATGTCAATAAGGTCAAAAAATATTATTCATGTAATTTGTATCTCAATGTTATTTAATATATATACAAGTGGTTATATATATATATATATATATATATATATATATATATATATATATATTTATATATATATATATATATATATATATATATATATATGGGCATATGTATGCGCATATGTTTTCATTTAGTAGCTGCAGCTGTTTGTTTATAATTGAAGGAAGTTGAAAAATGTAAATTTGACTTTATATTTTAGTTTGTTCTATTTATTAATACCCACCCAGTATTACTAATCACAAATAATCACACTACCTCATTAGCTATTGTAATTGGGTAAAAAATACCTATTTAGTTACTAATGCTATATTTATTATTTTAATAATTACCTACCCAGTAGGTAAATATTAAAAGAAAAAATTTAGCATTATAAATAGCAAATCTCCCTCAAACTCAATTTACTAATATTGTTCCTAAATAAGGAATAGCAGATAAAAGATTAGTAGGTAATAACTATTGCTCCTCAAAATTATATTTGACCTCAAGGTAAAACATATCCTAAAATTCAGTAGCTAAATAAAATAATAATACCTACTATTTAAGTATATTTTCAATATGTAAGTAAATGAAAATAATAAAAATGAAGCACCATTAGCATGTAAAGTTCGAATCCATAATTAACATTTCGACAAATATTATAATTTACACTATAAAAAGCTAATTCAATATTAGCAGTATAGTATATAGTTAAAAATAATCAAAATAGTAATTTTTATTAATTAGATAATGCATGAGAATACATAATTCTAATATAATGCAAATAATATACCAAATAAAGAAAATTAAAATACATTTATCATTGTATGCCGTGTCTATTTCCATAAAATAGTTCATTGACATTGAAAAATTAATACTACGTTCGTACCAGTAGGTGACGTCTTGCAGATTTCTTACGCGATATATTGTAGCGAGCGTAGGCAGACCGAACGCTTAAGGTCGTTCGCTAGGGGTATGGCCTTAAATCAAAATGCACCTTGCGTTCGCGTGCGAGTATCTTTATCACTTAGCCCGTTACACGCCTTTGTTAATGCCCGTGCTACTGTAGGGTTAGGTGTTGTGAGAAAACAACTCATCTGCAAAGCGTGGCAATTATTATAAATATTCGTCCTTTGGGGCAACCTATGGGGAAGGTCTAAGAAATATTATAATATAATAATGTAAGTGTAAGTATTTCTGCTGTGCATTAGATTTTATATGTTATAATGAATGAATTAATGATATGTGCACAATTTATTTTCGGCATAAAACTTATTATCCTGGTTTTTTATCCAAATAATTTTAATCGATTTGGGTATTTCGTATTTTTTATCTATATATACTAGATGGCATACCATCAACAAACAGGGACTATGAGGTCTTTCTATACTTTCCATAGTTTGTTATTCCATGACCCACACACATACATACATAGTTTTGTAAAAATGGCGGATGACTTTTTAAATTATCGTCAAGGGATTACGCTTTCAATTACCGACAAGACAATTAATAGCGCAAGGTACAAAGAAACATTAAGCCATTACATTAAAGTCCTAAATCGAAGAACACAGATTAAAGATGACAACCGAACACACAGTTCACCTGCTGTTAAGTGGATGCTGTGGCACATGCACATATATATCTATTCTCGATTAAGAATCGAAATGCAGATGCGTTTCCAACCCTGAGGACTAAGATGGAATGCCTAATTTCCAGTTTAAATGGTCTCCGGTTTTCTACACTCACCATACGAAACACAGCAGTGTTGAGTAGCTATTTTACGCTGGTGTTCTATTAGAACGCGGTCCTTCCCCGCCCAAGCCGATCAATTCATACTATAACCATAAAATAGTTGCAGAATAGTTCTACCACGTATATAGCTGATAATTTCTCTTTAAAATACTTTTAAGGTATCTTCATAATAGATATCACTGCATTATTAAAATACATATCTATCATAAAATGATACATATGCATACCTCTTGTGGTTCTGAGTCTACGAACCAATCGATATCAGCTGCAGGTATCGAGTAGTCTGAAGTACAATTTACAAGCGCTTGTTCGCCTACTTGTACGATGGTCGGAAGTCCAGTGATGAGTGGATCATACTCTGGTAGCACTGCAAAAATATTTCTTTTTGAGAATTCTAGACATTAGTCGGAAATATATTCATTTTAATAATCATCATTAGAAATCTTGTGGAAATAAATATTAGTTGCGAGTAACATCGAAAACCTAGTGATGATGTAAGAATATTCACTATCAAATATCATCTCGTGGGTGTCGTAAGAGGTGATATGAGAAAAGAAACCAGAAGATAGGTAGCAGCGGCTTCCACACAACAACTAGGAAATAAAAACCCGAGGTTGTCAACCCGCCTATCAAGCATAGCAATTGTGGCAAAATATCCTCCTACGAGGTAATAATGGGGAGGTCCATTTTCAAAAGTGAGACTTTGTTAGATCAATGAATGAAGACTGTAAGCTTTTATGAATTTGGCTTATAAAAAATATTTAAATACCGCCAGATTTTTTAAACTTCTAGATTTATTATATGTGGCCTATAGATAGCGGTATAACAATACGCATGTAAACAATATACAGACTGGAGACGAGGCGCAGTAACATAGATGAGAGACGTATGACAATACGATCTCAATCTATAATCTGTAAGAATAATGAAGGGAACAGGTAGAATTAATTGAAAATATTAGATGCTAATATTAAATAAAAATATTAAATAAAATTTGTAATTGTTATTTACATAAGTTACAGCCCGCCATATAGCTAAATAAAGTTTGTGACAGTTATTTACACAGGTTACAGTCCCCCATAAGTTCAACACTACATTCATCGAATTACTGCAAGTTTCACCAAGTTGTCATTCAATCTAGTGGAAGGTTGCGTTACACTTCAATGACCGGTACGACACTGTCACTCAAACACCTTTCTAACCTAGTGTCTGTTGATTTTTGGGGCCACATCCATTGCAGTACGTATTGTAGCTTGTAGATTCGTTGAGGTGCTACAACTCTGTTCTTCTGAGGATATCTTTTTACGCATTATATTTTATAGACAAGTTCCGAACATAGCAATCTTCATACCTTGCTATGCAAACATCTTCTTTATATGGCCAGCAGTAAAAGAATAAATACTAGAAAAGTGACTAATGGTAAATCTCACCATCATATATCACAGTCAGATATCGTGGAAAGACGTAACGTGCAGGAGCGTAAACTTGATTGCAAATGTGGTATTTATGTCAAAGGGCAAACAAAAACACCTATAAAACCCCGCGTGAAAGAACATATTATATCTAAGGTGAAGCGATGACGTTCCGGTAAGTCTGTAGTCTGTGAACATGTTAAAGACCTCGCAAAAGAACACCAATTCCTACCAAAGATTATTATAGAATAAAGTGTAAAATGAGCACACAGTCCACCTGGTGATAAGTGGATGCTATGGCCCATAAACATCTACATCTTTCTGCGATGCAGATTCGTTGACCTCTGAGGAATAAGGTCTAAGATACTCTACACTCACCACACGAAGCACAGCATCATCATCATCATCATTACAGCCATTCACAAGCCCACTGCTGAACATAGGCCTCCCCCAAGTAATGCCACAAAGCACGGTTCTGAGCTACCTGCATCCATCGACTTCCTGCATGTCTTACCAGGTCGTCACTCCATCTAGTGGGGGGTCGCCCTACACTATGCCTACCGGTACGAGGCTGCCACTCGAGAACCTTTCTTTCCCGTCGGTTATCGATGATATATTAATGATATATAATATATTATCAGCACAGCATCATTACGCTGCTATTTTATGCTGGTATTCTGTATGAACGTGGGCCTACCTCAATCTAGCAGACCATTTCTTCTATAACTATCGTATACCTGCAGCGTGGCTTAACCATAATATTATATAAAATTACTCGTCTTATAGCTGAATATGATCATAAGAGTGAGATTATTTGCTTATTTATTCACCTGCTAAAGTCATGTTGGCAGAACGTTTATCTACAGCAAATCTGGGTCCCTCGCTGGACACTTCACAAGTATACTTCGCTGTGCCTCGCTCGGGACGCACTGTTATAACGCAAGCGCTTAAATCACAGGAACTATTGGTGACGGAGATCTCACTACTATTAAAAGCTCGCGTTTCGTACTGAAAAATAGACGTAGGGGTTATGTCTTGAAGTTGAAGGTGCTTAAATTTAGTGAATGGAATATAATAGTCTTACCTCTTGAGGAGTGTAACGAAATATCTCGTGTGTGTCACGATACCATTTAACAGAGTGGAGAGCTGGGTCTTGAGGTTGCCTCATATAGTGGCAACGCAACTCCGCCTCTTTCCTTGGATCAGCCCAAAGTGGTACTTCAAGAAGTGTGATAGTATGGGACACAGAACGAACTGTAACAGAAAAAAATTATAATAATGCATCTGTCCCTTACTGGAATTTAAAATATCTAAGCCATTGCTAACTTTAGTTATATTTTTCCATTTCAATAATGAAATATAGATATAAATATTTAACCATCACATTAATCTACCGTTCGGAGGTAGTACGGACGTACGGAACTCAGGTAGAGTTAAGTGGGTTAATAGAAAGAAAAAGCTGAGCGTTCTAACAAGATTTTGGCAGTTAACTGGTGATATTTCTAATTACCAGATATCAGAGTTTTGTATATCGACCAATTCCGAGAGTTAACAAATATTTGTTGTGTTTTTAAATAAACAAAATCTATTCTATATAAAAAAATGACTTTAAATAGTGATGAAAGTGTTAATGAAATGTAATCGAAGATCGGTGTTTTTGTTTCCGGAGGTATTGCTGATAATGAAAATCGCCGAGTTTATACTCGAATAAATTACAGAAGAGAATGGTCGAAATATGCCACCCAACATTGTATAAGTTGTTTTGGTAAGCTGCTTGATGTTTTGATTGTGTTGTGGTATATCAAGTCAAGTAACTGCCAATATGTAAATGCCGAATGTCAAGCGCTGCGTTTCGTTGCTTCGTTTTTTTTTAAGATAGAAGTTGGTCATTATTTGACGCAAGCCTTAATTTATAAATATGTATAAATAACAATTGTCAATATTATATTAAAGACTAATAAGTTCAGTAATTAAAAGCGTTATATAATAATCATAATGTTTAAATATATCATAATATTTTGATATAGAATGTGACGCAAATCACTTCGAACGAAAAACAAAATACTTAGGAGGGACGCATTTACCAAAATTATCGTGAACTATCTGTCTTTTATCTCGGGTAAGCTTTCGAACATTACGATATTGAGATGACAGTAACAGATAGTTTAAACTTAATTGTTTACCTTGGGTAGCTATCTACTAATAACTGATTGTATGAAATTGATCGGCCGTAAGAGACTCGTGCCACTTAGTTCATGCCACTCAATCCAGTTGTCTTTGAAGCCGCTCTGGCGTTAAGCGAGATATAATTGAGATAAGGACCAGCAAAGTGCAGAAGCAATGCAAGTGTCAAAAGCACAAGTGCTTTTGTTAATTTGTGATTACACTATCCTCCCCGACTCCGCCTGAGAGGATTTATTAATGTGGCGTTATTTAGATTTATGAACATCAACGACCATTTATTTTATCAATTTCTCAAAAAATCTTTGTTGTTTTTAGAGTAAATATAGCTTAGATAACCCCTGGAATTGCTCTCTATCTGTTCATGCAGTTTCATTATAATTGGTTCAGCCATTCTGAAGATTGGCCCGGAGAGTCAGACAGAAAGAAAGACAAACATTTTAAAAATGGTTATTCACGTCTAATTAGCAAGCTATAACGCATCCCTCAGCTCATTATAAGGCAGTTATATCAATGTTACAGATACTTTAATATATTCTTATATATTCTTACGTGAAAACTATTTATTCCTTATAGTTTTTGAACTCGGTTTTTACTTTTTAAATTTTTATCACTAGGTTACAAGAATGTCACTTGAAATTACGAAAGACGCTTCGGAAGAAAATAAAGCTTAAATCCCTGTCAAGAGAAATTTTATTATTTGTATTGAACTTCAATCCGTGACTTTCTTTATGTTCGCTCGATGCTAATTCTACAAAAGGAAGTACTTTAGTTAAAAATCTTTAAAGTGACTGACTTCTTAGTTTTTCTTCATCTGCCCCTTCGTCCACTACTGAAAATGGGTAGTAGAGAGGCTGTGTCTTCGTTATGTATCTTTAATGAATGAATGAATGATTTATTTGTCAAAGTCAACAAACAAAGCAAGCAAATTAAAAAAAAAAAACTAGCAATATACATATAACATTGGGTTGCAGCAATGAACAGGCATGCTGCAGCATGATGCTGCAGTAGTGCTGCCACGACCACACGTTATTCTGTTGGTGTCTCATATTATTGTTCTCTAGACCGAATTTTAATAACGGTGGACAGACTGAATTGAGACTAATCATCTGCGCAGGACAGATTTATAGTGCCCGAATACGCTAGTACAGGTGCGCTCTCTATTCGCCCACTCTCACAGTCCGATGAGACGGAATCCAACATAAACAACGGTATTACGTGTTTTCTGAATCACTGCGATGAAACACCGCCAACTTCCTGGTTCCGGGCTGCTACTGAGTATTTCTTGTCAGAAAAACCCAATAACTGTTTTTCAATCCTGTTTACGGCCATTAGACTAACGAGAGAATCAGGCAGTCAGGGAGCCTCATATTACTTATATTCTAATTTGAAAACATTCCATTACTCTGATCCTCTGCCTGAACATCTTGCCCAGCGGAACATCGCCATTTTTCCCATGACGGCCAAAAACTTAATTAAAATATAATAAATAATAGCCTAGTGGAGTTTGTTACTTCACCACTATACACCAATTCTCTTAATAGCTACTGAAGTCTATGATATCATACTCGTATTAAGTATACCTAGTGTATCAATTAAAGCAGCGACTTCAGAAGGCATTGCTCGTATTCTCATAAATTAACATGAAGTAATATTGAATACCTCCTCCTTTTTTGAAGTCGGCTAAAAAGGTTCATAATTAAAGCTAAGGTATTAACAATATGTTAAGTTTAAAAAAAGTAGTTAACCCTTTACTACATTTTTCATACAAAGCATAGTAACTTAATTCTAAAGTTATAATTTTAATCACAACTTACGCAACCCAATAAAACTTAGTAGTAGGTACTAACTTTGGCAAATAAGCTTGAAGTCACGAAACCGCTTCAACTTCCCAGTGTTATTGGGTTATTACTGCATCGGACGGAAATTTGGGAAACTGCTTTATAGAGTAAATATAGAATGATTTATTAAACCGGAGTTCGCTAAATAACTCACTTATACTTATATATTTATTGATTAGACACACACAACAGATTAAAATCTTTTGTGGCATTTTCTACTAAATATTTAATTTACTATATCAAAAAAAAACGTAAATTGTATCCAAAAAACTTTGATGCATAACATGATAAATTAGCTTGCTTTTTTAACAATATATCTTATGTTAAATACTATTTGTCTGTGATAAAAATAAATGCTAGATTTAAAAAAAAACTGATAGAAACACGTTAACGTATTTTTGTTACCATCATCATTAAAGCTCTTCACATGTCCACTGCGGAACATAGACCTTCCCCAAGGGAAGCTACAAAGCACGATCCAGGGTTGACCGACATTTCGCCTAACAATACGAGCCTGCCACTGGAGAACCTTTTTTACCAATCGGTTGTCGGTTATTCAAGCTATATGGCTGACCCATTGCCACTTCAATTTACTAATCGGGCTGTGTCGGTTACTCTGGTTCTTAAGTCTATCACGCAAAGAAAATCTGAGCATAGCCATCTCCATATCTCGCTGAGCTACTTGGAGCTTCCTCATATGGCCAGCAGTGACATGGACGTCACACGTAATATTGGTTTTGTCCATGTTCATCTTAAGATCTATCCGAAGGTACTATTGAGGATATTGAACATAGTACTTGGGAGCTCCAGCGATTCTCTCGTATAAGGACTATACCGTCGGAAAATCTTTTTGCTTAGATACGACCTGTATCAAAAGTGCGAAAGTCCCGCCGCATGCATTTGGAGTTCTGTCTGTTCAGTTACCTGTATGTTGTCAAATATACTGAAGACTGAACTTTCATTTCCCGTCTGACAAATATGAGATTCAAACTGTGATCGTATAGTTTTTGGTTCTTGTTTGACGGGTTTTTCGGAACTTAGCTGCGATCGCATGGACAGTTTACACGAGATTGTCTTATAGGCAGTAAACACGGTTTTGTAACTACCTGTTTTCACCTTCGCGGTTACTGAATCTATTCATCATAATGAAGTAAATCTCATTATTGTCGGACTGTTGGGGCTTGATAAGGTCACCTTGCAATGGGGCCGCTTCAGAAAGAAAGAGTTCATCATAATGAGATCCCTCTTTCCCCATGAAGTTGACCAGCTGCTGGCCCTTTAGGTACCGTTGCCCTATTTTAAATTTCTCTGAATTCAGCTCACCGTTTTTTCTTGTTCCTAGTTTAGCTTTGAAGTCTCCCGTTAACGCTGTATATTGGGTTGTGGAGGAATGCATGACTTAAAAGATATCTTTATACATTTTCTCCACCACCTCATCGGGATGTGCTGAGGTTGTAGTTTCCATCATTACCGAGTGATTTGACTATGACACACCATACCCCAAACTTAACCGTTTTCAAGGTAATGGATATTTAAGGTTTTTATTAAACTCCAAATTTTTGTCTATTGTACTACTTTTTGTTCATCTAGTTTTTTTTTTCATAATATTTATGTAGTAGATATTATTTTTAATACCAAGATTTCATGTAAATAAGCAATCTGGGTGGTAGTAGATGATTGATGGCTAAAAAAGGAAATACATTTGTACTAAGTATTTATTTGAAAAATATTAAAAATGAAAATCTATGGCAATTATGTTGCATATTGCACTTACAAATATCTACGTTTCTTCAGCTATGGTAAAACTTATAACAATCTAGGGTGTTATCAGAAGTCCTAGATAACCTTAGATGAAAGGCTCACAGGTTGTAGTAAAAAATAACGGTGGTGATTGTTCCACAAGTCTTGGCCCAATTTCTGGACTGGCTTTTTTTTCGATTCATGACTGTGCTCGCTAACTCAACTTTGATATGTGTATATTAAACCTTTGAAGATAACAAACTTTATAAACGTAGAATAAATATGTTCATATTTTGATTTGTTACGGATACTGCAATTGTGTACCGCACGAGCGAATTAACAAAATATTTTTAAATACACTTGCAACATAACTGCCATAGATTTGTTTAAATATTCCTCAAAGAAAAAAATAATTTATAGAAATTTATTTCTTTTTTCAATACTATCAATCGTCAACTACGACTAAAATGGTTTAATCAACAAAAATCTTGT